TTTAAATAAGGAGTGAGTATGAGTGTTCCATTTGCATCTCAAGCAGTACTTGCTTTCTAAATTTCTCAGCATCTTAAAGAAAAAGTAGTAGGTGATGTGTTGACTAGCTACATATATATTATCTATAATATATCTATATGTCAACTAATATCTAATAACAACTCTATAAAGAAATCAAGCAGTTTGTATAAACCAGGAGTCTTTCCAATAGAGTATTTGCAAATCAAGTCCAAAGTAGCGCCAAGGCATGTTAAAGGTGATTTTGTCAGGGGTTAGACAAACAATGTCAGTCACAACTTGGCTTTTTATTCTGAAAGTAGATCATAGTCTCTGAAAGCATAGGTGAACTTTAGAAGGCTATTAGTGAGTTTCATTTCTTTCAATAGTTTCTATGGAAGTTGTGCAAGAATTTGAAGGGCATGTGTTCATTGCAAGTTGGATTAATTCGCCAATACTTTTGCAATGGAAAATAAAACAGTAGTAGTATATTGATTTCTATAGAAATATAACTTTGTAGATGTTTTTACACTGCTTTACAATAACAAATCTCCTCAAGGGCAGATAACAAATCTAATTTATCTTTGGATCCCCGCACCTAGCAAAGGACATGGAACATAATGGATTTTTAATCACACGCTCCTGAATGGGCCACTTTTTAGACTTTTGAGAGCATCATCATCTTCCATATAGCTTGAAAAGATCAAGGTCATGTGCCAACTAACACCAAAGAACCTAATTTGCAGTTAAAGCTTTCCTTTGGCACCAATTCGAAAGCATTAACTGGAAGCACTGTATTAAATGATGTATGATTTTTTAATAGGAAGCCAAGAGGCTGGAGAGATGGCTTAGCAGTCAAGAGTACTTTTTCCCTTGCCTAGGACCTGGGCTCAATTTCAGCACCCACATGGTGCTTTACAACCATCCACAATTCCAAATTCCAGGGGATCCCATGCCTTCTTTCAACCTCTGTGGGCCCCAGGCATGCATGATGCATATTCACACATGTTGGCAAAACATTCATACACATAAAATAAATCTTTTTAAAAAATAGAAAACCACACAGAACAATCTTCAAAACCTATGTATATGGACTTGCGATATCAACAGTCAAACAATAACATGGTCCCATTTTTCTAGACTGAATGAGAATTAGATGTGTAACACCCAAGTGTTTTCAAAGATTTATTGTTATTTGTGTGTGTGTGTGTGTGTGTGTGTGTGTGTGTGTGTGTGTAAAAGTGTATGCCACCTGCATGTGGGTGACCACAGAGACCAGAGTAAGGTATCAGATTCCCTGGAGCTGGAGTTACAAGTGGTTATTAATTGTAGTACACACTTTAACTACTGAGCCACTTCCTTAATCCTAGCACACTGGTGTTTAAGATTAGACTCCATGGGCATTTACCATAGAACCATATTTAAAGTCATAAAATGGCAATTAAAAATCTCTAGCTGTGTTAATGATTCCTGAAATGAGGTTCATCTCTACATCAGATTCATGTCCCTTGGTTCTGACCCCTTAAGCCAGGCTTTAAAAAAATGCTTGTGTTTAAGAGCCCTTGAAAAACACTGAGGAAATACAGAGTGGCCTGGCAGGATGGCTCAGCACTTAAAAGTACCTGCTCCCAAACCTGAATATTAAAGTTCAATCCCCAGGACTCATATGATAGAAGAAGAGAACTGACTCCTGCAAGTTGTCCACTGACCTCTAAATATGTGCCATGGGATATTTGCCCCCACTACACACACACACACACACACACACACACACACACACACACACACGTAAGAGGGGGGATGTCAAACATAGCCTGGGTCCATTTACCACAAAAATTAGAATAAAATTAATCAGATTCACAAATATTTTATTAATGATGTACAAACAAAATGTAATAAGAATAATTTCTGGGCTTATTTAAATTAGATTAGTTTTTACAATAGCCTCCTCTTTAGGCTTTTTTTTTATTTTTTATTTATGTGGAGTATAGTCCGCATTCATGTATGCCATGTGTGTACTGGTGTCCTAAGAGGCAGAGAAGGGACTCTGATCCCCTGAAACTGGAGTTAGAGTTGGCTGTGAGCCGTCATGTGGGTGCTGGGAACCAAAATGGCGTCCTCTGGAAGATCAGTGTCTTAGTAACTTTTCTATTGTTGTGATAAAACACCATTACCAAGGCAACTTATAAAGGAGAGCATACATGTGGAGCTTACACTTCCAGAGGGTTAGAGTCCATGACCATAATGGCAGGGACGGTGGCAACAGACAGGCAGGCATGGCAGCACTGGAGCAGTAACTGAGAACTCACTTCTTTTTTTAAAAAATTATTTATTATGTACACAGTGTTCTGCCTACATGCCAGAAGAGGATACCAGATAGAATTATAGATGGTTGTAAGCCACCATGTGGTTGCTGAGAATTGAACTCAGGACCTTTGGAAGAGCAGCCAATGCTCTTAACCATTGAGCTATCTCTCCAGCCCCACATCTTTTGTTTAAACTTTCCTTTTATTTATTCTTTGTGTCTTTCACATCATGCATCTCCACCACATTCATTCCCTGGTCCCTTCATATCTGCCCTCTGCCATAGCAACCCCATCCAAAATAAAATAAAATGAAATTTAAGGGAAAAATAGAAGAAAAGAAGAAAAACAAAAAGAAAAAAGCATGGAAGCTGTAGTGTGACACAGTGAATCAGGCAGTAACCCTTTTGTCCATATATCGTTACTTGCAAGTGTTCATTGCAAAGAGTCAGTGGTCTAGTTCGAGGCCTCTGCTTTCTGCTACATTATCAATGCTGAGCCCTCACTAGAACTCCTCTTGGTAATCCTGTTGTTGTCCTATGTCATGGAGATCCTGCAGCTTTGGGTTTGCAGGACCAGTCCCTTCACATGGTCCAGCAGATGACAGATGGAGTGGATGTTGGGGTGCACCAACTCATAACCCTGGTTCTGGGCTTGGGTTGTTGAAGGGTTGGTCAGCCCACCAGAGAGCTCACATCTTGATCCACAGGTATGAGGCAGAGAGACAGAGGCACCAGGAATGGAAAGAGTATTGAAATCTCAAACCCAATCATCAGTGACACACCTCCTCCAACAAGGCCACCCCATTATCCTTCCCCCAAACAAGGCAACCGGGGACCATTTATTCAAATGTCTGAGCCTATGAGGAACATTCTCATTCAAATCATCACAAGCATCAAGGGCTCTTAAACAATGAGTCATCTCTCCAGCCAGTGCAACAATCTTAAAATATAGATCAGAGAAAATCACCTCATTGTTTGGACTCTCTAAGGAACTGCATTGCTAGAATACTTCTAGTACCTGGCTACTTAAAGTGTGGTTGTAAGACTAGAAGCCTCTACCATCAGTTCAGACACATGGTAGGAATGAATAATCTGAGACATAATCTCACACCTACTGAATTAGCATCTTCTAATTCTCACAAATGTGAAATTCATAACTATATTAAAATTCAATCAACTGTTTTAGTTCAGAGTATTAAGAAAGAATATAGCCCTTAACACATTTGAAAAAGTCAGTAAAGCCATGAACATGCCCCTGGAAAAAGATATATCCCCCATTCTTTCACAGCAAGAAATTAGGTCAGCTACCTCTTAAGATGTTTTAATATGTTTTTTTTTTACCTTTTTAGAGCTTTATTGGGGGGGGAGACAGAGAAAGACAGAGAGAGAGAGAGAGACAAGGGGGGAGAGGGAGAGAGGGGGACCGACGGGGGGAAGGAGCGCAAAGGAGAGGGGACAGAGAGCTTAATATGTTTTAAAGGGGGACAATTTTGTAAAATATGGTCTTCTATGAACTCCCAATATACTTTGTGCAACTTTTAAAAATATATATTTTATTATTTATTTGAGAATTTTATGTAATATATGATCATATTCATTTCCCTCCCCAACTCCTCCCAGGCCCACCACCCATAATATCCTCACTTCCTCTCAACTTCTTTAAAAAGAAGTAATCCAGAGTCCAATTTGTGCTGAACATATACTCCTACACCTAGGTATGAGGCTATCTACAGAAATTTGATCAACTTGCCAGGGCCACACCCTTAAAAAGTATCCCCACCCCCAGCTCTGAAGCTATCAAATGTCAGTAACTCGTCAGTTGGGGTGGATGCTCATGATCCCCTCCCCACACTATGTTAGAATGTTGACTGGCTTAATCTTGTGCGGGTCTTGTGTGGCTACTGTGAGTTTATGAGTGAAGCAGAGTTGTCTTTTCCAGGAAACATCATTTCGCTCTCATCCATCCCCTGGTCCTTATAATTTTCCTCTTCCTCTTACTCAATGGTCTATGAGCTTTGAAGGGGGTGATGTAGATTTCATTTGTGGCTGGGCACTCCGCTGACACTTATTCTCTGTGCAAATTTTTTGTAAGATCATTAGATTTTCTAAGTAATAATACTTAAGGTAGCCATAAAATTTGTCTTCATTATTAAATCTAGTCACACTCACACTATGTGGTCTCAGTTAAATAACAACAACAGAAATAATAATGTCCAAACTCTGTATCTACATTCTTCACAAATATTAACAATTTGATAGTTCGTAAGAGGAGCAATTAAGTTTGTAGGGAATCTACAGGTGCTTGCCAAGGGTAGATTCTGGGAATAGAGTCAAAATATGGTCACAGTCAAGAAATACTAAAAATGAATGTGGAGAAACCTCGAGGAGGGATGAGACGAGAAGTGTCTGTTGCTTTGATGTGTTCTGCTTTGCTTCCAGGGCTGTCTGTTTGCAGTGTGTCTATTCAACGCTCTAGAAAACCGGCACCGCTCTACCTAATGCTTTTGTCAGAGCTGGTTAGGCGTCGTCTTGCAGGAGCAAGGTTCGCCTCAGCGTTTCAGCACTGCGGACAGCTCCAGGAGTCTGCGGGAAGGGGTGGGGTGGGGCTTATGAGGAAAGGGGCGTGGGTAGTGGAAAGGAACACTGAATGACTAAGTGACGCATCAGTTTTCAGTTAAACCAGTACACCTTTCACTCCGTCTTTTCCCTTTGTCTGATCAAAGGAAATATAAAAACCCGAGTCTGCTGTTTTCACGCACAGCGAAATGCCTTCGGCACAGCTGGGGACAATAACAGAGGCAAGGATTTTCGCAATGAATCAAGTAAACCCTCACGACCCTAGGAAGCCCAAATAGTGACGAACTCTGATTGCTAAGCTTCAGGGTGCGATGTGAGTGAAAATGAGCCCTTGCCTCTGCTCTTTCTAATGGACCTGAAGAACAGACCCTGTTGCTGCTGTTAGAATCCCTTCCCCATCTCACGTCCCACCTCCTTTGCTCGCACATCCACCTGCGCGCAAATATTTACACATTGCCACATCAGAGAAATGCACACATGCACACACATTTTCCTGCAAGCACTCGCGCGCGCACGTCCTTCCGCGGCTGCCTGTGTCCTGTCTCTCACCCAGACACAGACACTTATACACGTAGGCCAGAAAAAGCGCAACCCACGGTCCTGTGACTCCACGCAGGTCCTCAGAACACGCCGTTTACATTGAACCGATCCGCGAGCACAGACAAACCTACCAACAAGTCTACTGGCTGGAATTCATCTCCATGGCAACAAACATGGAAGGTGAGCCCATCCATCCCTGCTGCCTGCGAAGTAACTTTCTCCCCCTTCCTCAGCAATCACCAACAGGCAGGGTTCCAGCGCCAGTCCCAGGGAGAAGGTGTCCTTATTCTCTTGGATTTCAGAAGCAAGAGAGCTGGGTGGGGGGCAGGGAGAGTCTGTAGGTTTTGGTGTGCTCAAATTCTGAAAAGAAAAGAATGCCTCTGCAGCTGCTGATGCTGTCAAAAAAGAAAAAAAAGAGAATGAAAATGTGTTGTGTGTATACAGATTGCTGATGTTTCTCCCATGATGTCTTGTAGGAAGTTTCCATGCTTCCTGCAGCTTAATATGTAGAAGACAACTGGAGCCAAAACAAGGTAGAATAATAACGCTGGTCTAGGCTTCTTTGGTGAGACATGTTGAGAATTTCCAGATCGAGCTTACCAGTGCTTTGGAAGGAATGGGTGTCTGAGGAGCCACCCAAATATTCTCTTAAGGAAAATCTCTCAAGCTTGACGTCTCCGGGGCTCTGGGGGTAGATTCCTGAAGATCCTGAGGTTCTGGAACTCTAGGAAACCAAAATGCATGTACTTCAGCATGATGAAGACATCTGGGTTTGTAATTTAAGGATTTCCTTTGATTCCAACACATCCATTCCTAAACGATAGCTCTGTGCAGATATGGCCTCAATAATGCTTCCTGCTGTTCCTTCTTTGAATAGAATTTAACAACCTTTGCATTTGATATAGAGTCTGTTGTTTATGTACAGAAGGGCTCATTATTTTTTTAAGCTTGAGTTTGCATGTCTCATTTCATGAAATTACAAGTATCCTCTCACTAGAGACTTTTGTCTGGTGACTAGTGGTAAAATACTTTTTACCTGGAATATCATATTGCACTCCAATTGTAACTATTTCAGATTTAGTGTTTGTGATGTTATTACTAGATAAATAAGCAGGAGGGGAAAAAACCTGTTGATTAAAGTAAAGACATAGGAGGTTCGTGTGTATTTTAGGAGATGCCTACATTTTACCATTGGCTTCTGCAATTGCATGTTATTGTGTGCAAAATTAACAACTGTTTTTGAAAAAGCAAACTTGATAGCTCCTAATCAGTAAATAGTTCACAGAAGAAAACAGCATTGCCTAATACATTCACTCATGGACGTGAAAGGCTACATGCAGAGGCAGCTGTAAAAAATGCTCTCCTTGGTGGGTTGCTGGCAGTGACATGATTCAAATAACTGAGCACAGGGGGGTTGTGGTCGCCATCATCGGTTATTCGTTGTTAACCACAAAGCAACTCCACGACACTGGGCCTTTTGATATCTACAGGTCCTGCCATGGCCCAGTGCTATGACTCATCAGGACTTACAGAGCAAACATGATGTTTGCCATGAAAGAAAAGAGACACTTTGAATCTGGTTGCTCCCTATCGAAGTATCTAATCATTCATTCCAGTGCTTGGAGTTCCAAGCAGCGTTTTATCAGTAGCAGAAGTAGTATAAAAATAAGCTTTAATACTTCAGTCTTTGTGTGGAGAGATTCTGATATTTAAGCTGAGCAGTGTTGAGGATGGTATCCATTTTTGTGGTATATCACATTTAAAGTAAATTTACCTGGATTCAGCTTTACATTCAACTCTTTTTTAAATTCACTGTTTCTTTTCACAACTACTTTTTTCATATGGGCTTTTTTTTATCGATTCATAGTTTTGTTCCTTTGTAATCTATTTTTCTCATACTTCATTCATTTTCTATTCTCAGTGAACCTATTTCTCAGGTATTAAAATATTATTTTCCTCCTGAGGTAAGCTTTACAAGATCTGTTCTATAGAAACTAATGAACCTTTACTTCCCTATTTCTCCCAGTGATGGTAAATGAAAATTTGTCCTTACTCCCTATGTGAAAGTGTTTTCGAGACCTTATTCATCATGAAGTAGTCAGTGTTGTAACTGAAGACTTCTGTTTATGATATTGTCATTAGTAATATTTTATATAATGTACTCCACATCAATAGAAAGGCACAAAGCTCAGAAAACTTAATAATATAGTCTCAAAAACTTAAGACTTAGTTGGTATTGAAATGAGACAAGGTATCCATTTTGTATGTCAAATAATATAGAAAAGTTTGGGGAATTATTTGAAAAAGCTAGGCCTCAAATACCAGTGTACGTCATGTCTTGAATATGAAGGCTAATGTGATTCTGTTTTTGTGTTTATCTACCTATTTATACAGAACTGACATCAATAAGCAGGCTTCTTTTGGACCTTTTTCCATCTCCTTTCCAACTATTCTCCTATATGGCACTTGGTTTAAAGATGAACATTAAAATCTAAGCTTTTCCTTTTAAGATATTAACAAAATCATCCTTTCTCAACTCAATTTTTGTTTAAAGCTGTAAGCTACAGTTCTTTAAACATTACATGGATTGACTTAGATTTACTTTGAAAAAATCAAATATCTAGTTAAGTCCTTCTTATTGAGAATGATTCAAATCTGAATACATTATCCTTCTAAGCCTTTAACTTTTATGGAAGTAAAACTTGTTTTGTCAAATTGTAATACCATCCAATTCTGTCTCCTCTTTAGCCATTATACCAAAATTTCCTTCAATTTATTAACCTTCTAGAAATTTCTATAATGGTAAAATAATTCTGCTCTCAGGCCTTTCTTGTCCATGCTTAGTTTTCATTCCCACAGAATTAGACAGTTTTTCAATGTTCCATCTGGAAACCTTGGCTTTCTTAGTTTTTTTTTTTTTTTTTTTGAATTCCTGCTGTGGATTTATTCATGATCCTGAGTCCTTCTTATAAGTCCACTGGGAGATCTTATTTTCCCGCTGCAAGAGGAGCATGCATTGTGGTTTATTGATAGTGGGGGTTTTTCCTATGTTCATATCCTATCTGGTAATAGCAAATAGCATCTTGCTGAACTTAGAATTGTCCTGGATCAGTCTAGAACAAGTCTATACTAGAAAACACCATAGATGTCTAGATGTATCTATTGTCTTCTTCAGTACTCCCTTTCAATATGTCTCCTTCCCTTAAGTTGAAGGTTGTAAATACTTCTATGTACTGTGATCTCTCTCTTCTACATTTATTCATCTATATCAGTTTTACTTGATAATCATAACTAAAGTATTCTCCCCACTAGGAACTGTGTGTTGCACAAAATTATCTGGATTAACTTCTTACATGAGAACCGCAAGTTAGCAATGCCCAAATCTACATTTACTTTGTAAATCTATACTGTTTCTTATTTTCTCCATTCTGCTTAGTGAAAAATGCTGTTTTTGCATTTGTTCAAGCTTAATAGAGTGGAGCTATCATTGATGGGTCTCTTTTCATGGCTCATTACATTCCATCAGGTGTCAAATCCTAAGTTTATAAGTGGCTTTCAAACCTACACTCTCTTACTTATACTTATTCATACAGACCTTCATTACTGCTTACATGAACCATTGTTTTCCATTTCTTCTAAATATGTAGAAGATAATAAAATTTACCAATATGGCTGCTGAGGAGATAAAATATGTGTATAGCACTGCATAGGAGAAAGGCAGTAAATGTTGAGCGTAGTTTGATTTCTTTTTCATTACTCATGTAGAAGACTGAATTGTTTTCTTCTTCTTTGAACATGGCTCCTCTCCCTTGCTAGTTGGAAGCTAGAGAGGCCATATCTACTACCATGTGACAACAGCACAATAAATATTTTGAATACAAGTATGACAACTATCAATTAAATCATTTGTGTTTGACTGGGGCATAATAATGGTATTTCCATTCTGGAGCCTTTGTTCCTATTCAGGTTAAGATTGCCTCTGCCTTTCAAGCAACCACTTTGTATCTTCAACTTATATGAATTATTGATGAATTTCAATTTTAGTATTTATTTCATGAAAATTATCAAGCAATGTCTCCCCCATTTTCAGTTAACATATTTCTCTCCTTCATTCTCAAACACAAAACTTTTGTAAATGTTTCTGTTAGAAACATCAGGTTCCATCTCAGAATTTAAGTCATTAGAATTCTTTTGAATCTCAGCTCTGAGAACTACATATAATTTCAGCCAAGTCACTGTTCTGAAGCATGTAAGAGTGTGTAGGTAAGGCTAGACCTTTGTGATACTACACTGAAGACTGTCTTCATGATTATAAAAACCCTGTATTTATTAGGATAGCTCAGTAACTGTGAATCTACATAAAACACTATGAGCCAGGCATGTCTCACATCTCCCTCACAAGGAGTATAAGGGAAGGTCCATGAATTGCCAAAGTCACTAAACCATGCTGTCCCATTTCCCTAGTTCATCATGTTAACAGCAAACAAGCAAAAGAAGATGAATTTAGCTGTTGATATCTGAAATTTTCCTCAAAGGCCTGTTTGTGAAGTCCTGGCTCCTAGTTACAGCTACAGGGCAGTTGGGAGACAGTGAAACCTGTGGGAGGAGGTGCATCTTGTCCAAAGAAGTCCTGTCACTGCAGGGATGACCTTGAAAGGGACAGTGAGACCCTCATTCCTCCTCCCTCCAGCCACAAGTGAGCAGCCCTCCTGTGCCACACTCTAGAACCAAAATCAGGCTCACATCACCATGGCTCAAACTGCCAAAGCCTCGAGCCAGAATGAGCCTTTTCTCTTTGAAACTGACGATTTGACCTTTGCCTACAATGGAAAGCTGGGCAGAACAGCCTTGCTTCTCACCCATGTTATTGCCAGAGCCTTCAATGCCAACTGTTACCTATTAAATGTCTATTAGTCACACATTACCAACATATAATTTCCACAGTTTCCTCTTCCGCCTTTTGAAAGGTAAAACGTTTGCCTGTATTCAACTCTGGAAGCTTTCTCATGGTTAGTCATTTCTGAAAGCGTATCTCCAAGCTATAAAAACCAGAGTAGGTTAAGGAGTCATGTCTTCGTCATTTATGACTTTAAAACAATTATGTCTGCCTCTTCCACATAGGCATACTGCTCAGTATGGCACATTGTTACCAAGTTCATCAAGGAAAGTGCTGGCTTATGTCAGTCTCTACTTTTTTTTTCAATGAAAATGTTAAGAAAATATTCTGTGTTGCCTTAAACTCATTCAACCCTTTAGACTTCCTGACACTGCCCTGAAAGTTTTGGGTCACTTTTCAACATGTGTTCAAATAGCACTGCATTTCTTCTCATATTTGTTCTAGTAATTGAGAGATAGAGTGCTGCAAATTGGGTTTGTTGCCATGGTAACCTTTTTCATTTAGTAAGTCATTCTTTATCCACACACCATTCACATCCCTACTCCACTCAGAAGATTTTGAAGTATCTAATTAATATCCTTCCTGGCTAAGGCTAACAGCCAAGGACTGGGTGAAGAAGGAGTACTACACCAGAAATTTTAAGCTAAAAAATCATAGAGATCAAATATAAAATCGGCACCTGTACTTTCTGGTACAGATTAATGTCTACATAAGATGATTATGATATAGTTTCCTGAGAAAACAAAGGGAAATTCACAGTTAGTGGGAAAAATCCACATTCTCCATCTCTGGACATGAAAAATCGTGTCTTTTTGAGAATGCTGCACTATATCAGTTTAACTAGACAGAGCAGGAACACTGGGAGAGCTGTTGAATCCCGGTGCTTATCTTCAAGGCTAGTTTTTGAAACCAAATGAAAGTTCTCTTGTTCATGTCAACTACTAATAAATGAAATTTCAAGCTCTCTGAATATTGAAAAAATTAGATTTAAAAAAAATTTATTCTTCAAAGATTGTATCCGCCGACATATTTAATTTATTCCAGTTCAAATACTTATTGAATAGAGATGATATGCCAGCTTAGAAAGTGGTCATTTTTTCATCAGTTCATTAACTCGCTGTCTAGAAATCTAAGAGCAGAGTGTTATATGGCATGTGTTAGACAAATTGTATACAAAAGGGGGCTTTGGTATCTCTAGCTGGGAAGGGGTTTTGTCTTCATTTAGTAGAACTATGTGAGCTGCATGCTTGATTACTGCTTCTGGAAAATGCCCTTTTGATGGTTTGCTTGTTTAGTTGATTGGTAGGTTTTTACTAAGAATAACAAAGTCTTGTGGGTTAATCCAAGGGCAATTAGGTTGTCTTCTGTGACCAGCTATGACACCGTGCATATGTTTACTCTATGAAGTCTTTAAAATCTGTAACTATAGCAGCTGGGCATGGTGGCGCAGGCCTTTAATCCCAACACTTGGGAGGCAGAAGCAGGCAGATCTCTGTGAGTTCAAGGCCAGCCTGGTCTAGAGAACAAGTTCCAGGATGGGCTACAAAGCTACACAGAGAAACCCTGTCTCAAAAAACAAACAAACAAAAAATGTAAATATGCAACCACATTTAGCTAAACTTATGACATTAATCTGCTTGGACCATTTCTACATGATGGTAAAATGAACAAATCATTAAAACTGCTCAGGTGTTTTTAACATTTGTGGGCTAATAGTTGCAGTAACCAGACTTGGAAGAGGCAGAGTTCAGTGGTCTAAATGCCCTTGGGCTCCTAACCTGGAGACGGATTGAGGATGAAGCAGGTGTAGACAGAGCTGAGTTGGGATATGTCCCCAAGACAACCTCAGCTGACACCCTGTGGAACTCCAGAGCTAGGCTACTTCTTTAGTATTTCCCCCTTGGAGTCAAGATAGTCAGAGTCACATCACTCCCTCCCTCACTGAATAGCATCCTTCCCAGGAGGAAACATACCATTGGTAGGGCAGTTCTCTGCAGCTGAGGCAACCCGTAAAAGGAGATAGTAACAACTTCTGGGAATGCTGCCAGCGGCCAGGCACTGTGGGCACACCATAGTGTCCGCTAGTAAACCAATGTTATCGGCCCTTCTGTTTTTAGAGGTTTACTTTTAGTATCTTAAATTACATTCACACATGTGGGTACATGTACATGGGTGCTGCCACCCTCAGAGGCAGAGGCATGGGGTGTCTTGGAGCTGGAGTTACCCATGTTTATGTGTTGCTGCTTGACATGGAAGCTGAGAACTGAACTTTGACACTCTGCAAGAGTTAGGACCCCTTCTTAACTGCGGAGTATTGTTGGCTCCTCTTACCTAGACACCCCTGAAAATGTTAAATGTAGCTTACAAGGACCATAAACTTGACAAAATTTTAAAAATTCAGAAGCCGAAAGTATTGTTTAATCCTGCGTCCTATGCCTCCTCCAGGATAAATAACAAAAGAACTCAGTCAGCCTTTGGCAAAATAACTCTGAGTTACTTAAGTAAGCCTAAAAAGATAACTCTTTAAAAAGGCAAAGCGCACTTTTTATTTGCTAGAACATTTAAAAACAACTTGTAGAAAAGTACTCCACAAAGGGATTTAAAAATGTTTTTCCCTTTTACTGAACAAAAAGTCAACCAACCAACATGCCAGAAGTAGGGAGTATTTCTGTCACTGGTAGTTTGAAGACAGGGCTCTTTTTGTAACATAAACCTTCATAAAAACTAATTATCACTGTTTTTAAGTTTGACAGTTATAAGCCTTATTATTCTCTCTACACATTCCCACCTATCCCTTGTTCTATCTCAGTGGGTTCTTTTTTATTTATTTTATTTTATTTTATTTTATTTTATTTTATGTGTATGAATGTTTTGCACACCTATATGTCTGTGCACCATGTGTATGCCTGGAGGCCAGAAAAGGGAGTCAGATCTCCTGAAACTGGAGTTAAAGACATTTGTGAGCCAGTGTGTACTGGGAATCGAACCTCCATTCTCTGCAAGAACAAGTGCTCTTAACCACTGAGCCATCTCTCCAGCTCCTTCAGCTGCTTTCTGAAAATGGATAAGGAGCTCCGCCGTTTTAGTTAAAGTCAACTTTCTTAACATTTTAGCTGTAGTTTTAGAATATCAATCGTAGATAAGGGAACAGAAATGAGAATCTGGCTAGGAAGACTAGGGAGTAGTCTTAAAGTTAGCTGAATTACAGAGAACACACAACTTTAACTTGATTTTATGTTTGTTTAGGGCAGTGATTCTCAACCTTCCTAATGTTGCAACTCTTTGATACAGTTCCTCATGTTGTGGTGACCCCCAAGCATAGAATTTTTTTCATTGCTACTCCACAACTATAAATTTGCTACTGTTAGGAATCATAATGCAGATATCTGATGTTTCCAATGGTCTTGGGTGACCCCTGTGGAAGGGCTTTCATATAACGGAGGGCACATATAATGGAGAAGATGCTATACGTATGCAGCTATGAAAACAAGAGTTGAAACAAAGAGTATGTCATAGCTGTTTAAAGAATAGACAAAACGGCCCTGGAGAGAGAGCCCTTGAAGCTGGGACTTTGAACAACAAGGACAGCTTATAGACTTTATTTGTGCTATGATCTTCACATGCAAAACTGCAGTGAAAACTCAGATCAAAGAAGCAGGGACAACTACCTCCCAGCAAATCAAAGGCTTTGAGAGTTAATCGCGCAACTGTCATTTTCATGCTTGGCTTTCTATTGCACTGTGCAGGCATGGATTTCTGTGTCCATAAACCACTCTGCACTACTACAGTGGAAAGAGCATCTCCAGTGCCAATTTCACTCTGATCTGTATCTGATATCTTCAGATATACTTGATGAGTTAAGAGGCCTTGAAAAATACCTGCTTTTATAATTTCTTGCCCAATGCCACACAAGAATGAAACTAAACTGGGTCCATTCTGTGCCTAGGTGGAGAACTGACTCCTGCAGGAACTCCCAAGAGCCACCACGATGCACCAGTGAACGATGAGTAGCACCTACTGCAGCAATTCTTCAGCTAAGATGAGTGTCAACGAAGTCTCTGCGTTCTCCCTGACGCTGGAGCAAAAGACTGGCTTTGCCTTTGTGGGCATCCTGTGCATTTTCCTGGGGCTCCTTATCATCAGATGCTTCAAGATTCTCTTAGACCCATATAGCAGCATGCCCTCTTCTACGTGGGAAGATGAAGTCGAAGAGTTTGATAAAGGGACCTTTGAGTATGCGCTTGCCTGATGGTGGTTCCAGCCTTTTCCAGTTGCCATTGGGACACATGTTAGACACATTTGTAATTAGCCTGACTGTGCTGCTGCAGAGAGGATCATTTCATTCACAAAATTCAATAAACATCTGTGATTGATTTATCCACCATGCTGTGTAAGATCTCGTGTTCTTCCTGGTCTCCCTCAGTGGAGGTTTCTTTACATAGAGCAGAAATGTGACCTCTGCCACCTTATTCCCTTCTCTAATACCTGCCCTTGCTGTCTGCTCCTTTCTGTATGCTAATGAGTTCGCTGGGGGCTTCCGCAAAGCAAGACTCTTCTTGTCCCATACTGGGACCACAACGTAGCTTTAGTGAATCCTGTGTTGTGTGACATTATTCTTGGGGAGACCTGAGCACATGTCTACTCAGCCCAGAGAACCAGTGACAGACTGGGGTTACTTACAGGAATATGGGTGAAAGGTTACTTACAGAAGCAGAAATGACTCAGCAACAGCTTCATCACCAAAGGTCTACCTCAGTGTGGGTGAGCTTGGGGCGCAGCCCGCATACAGCTCCACGGGTTGGAGAGTGCCTCTTCCAGGAAGATCAGCTTGTCTGAGAGTGCCTCTCGGTAGACCTCATTGCTTCTGTACGTTCGGGGAAGGAGAGAACTAGGGTATCTGATCGGTTTCAAAAAGACTTTCTGAAGTCTTTGGGTTGTTTATTCCCTAAACTTAGCAAGCTTCCCTGAGGGATGGAATGTTTTCCCTCCCCTTAGAACATTCCATGTCTTAAGGAATTTCCCTCCAAGATGGAGCCTTATCTCAGAGGAAATTGCTACACAACACTTAGGCTCAAAGGCCTTTGGACCACCAAAAGAAAGAATATTATTTCTTAAACGGGGATCATAGGTCAGAAAGTTCACAGTGGAACACATTCAGAAAACTAACACCCAGACCTGCCAACTCTGCAGAAACGTGAAGGTTCTCAGAATTCCCAGCATTCTAGGGCTTGAAGACGCTCCTGCGGTAAAATGCTGTAGTCTCGAGTGCCTGCCAGTCCTGCCTCACATGGACACTGGCTGCGTCACCCTCCTTCATGGCTAGCACTAGAGAGTTCCAGCATCACCCAGTCGGAGGGACGATTGTACTGAGGCAAGAAGTCCCAACAGCCAGCCCTGCCACCACTGGAGCCATACCACCCCGAGGCAGTTGTCTAATCTCTGTGGACTTCAGGGGAGAGATAACCAGAGGGCTTGGATGGCCATTTAAACTCTAGCAGCCTAAATATACCACACATGTCCCTGGGAAACCAGAGAGCCAAGGTGAGGTTTGAAGATATGCACATTTTCCAGATCAGGCGTCAGGATTCTGATGTTGGCTCACCTAGCAACTAGCTTCATCTCGCTTCATAACCTACAAAGTGACCTCAGGGCAGACAGTCTTCCACATCTGTGAAACTAGGACGAGAAGCCTATCCTGTGTCTCTCAAGGGTGCTCGCAAGAGGACGGAGACATAAGAAATTGAAAAGCGCTTAGAAAAACATAGAACAGGTAAAAATACCATACTCCCCGTCTGTCTTCACACCACTCCAACCCAGCACTGGGTTGCACATGCCTCTGCCACACCTGAGTTTACATGGGTGCTGGAAATCTGAACTCAGGTATCTTTGCTTGCAAGGCGGGCACCTACCTTTCCCACTGAGCCAACACCCTGGCCTCTACAACTTTTTACCAAGACTGCTGCTCAGGTCTGTGGCATTTCAAAACAGCCGGCACAGAGAGATTCTTGATAGAGATGTTTGTTCTTGTTTGTTTGTTCTCCTAGTGGGTTTATAAAACATCTGTGTTGGCTGTGGTTCTTCTGTGCTAACCCTGCACATCAAAGAGGCTCTTGGTGCTCCAGTTGGTACAAGAACACCTCACATCCGATTGGTAATCTGGCCCAAGAATAACTCAGTAAATTGAGCTCAGCTGACCTCTTGGAAGGCATCTGTGCCTGAATACCAGGCATCATCTTTGTGACATGGGCTTCCATAGTGCTCCATAAGATTCGTGTCCAACTTGCAGAGGTTCCATTTGCCCCAGAGACAACACTCACCAAGACTTTTCATTTCACAAGATCAGATTTTTATTTCAAAAGAAAAAAAGAAAGGAAGGAAGGAGGAAGAAGGAAGGAAGAAAGGACGAAAGAAAGAAAGAAAGAAAGAAAGAGAAAGAAAGGAAGGAAGGAAGGAAGGAAGGAAGGAAGGAAAGAAAGAAAGAAAGAAAGAAAGAAAGAAAGAAAGAAAGAAAGAAAGAAAGAAAGAAAGAAAGAAAGAAAGAAAGAAAGAAAGAAAGGCACAACACATTCATAAAGAATGTACCATCATTTCAGGGCATCAACTCCCAGCACACCACCATCCCCAGTCTCACTAAGAAGAGAACACACTGACAGAAAGTGCTTGACCTGTGGCTTTTATTTTTATTTTATTTGTACATCTTAGTCCTTTGTGAAGATGGGGGTAGAAGAATGGTCGTCACCATCTGTATCTTCAGAGCAAGAAGTGATAACTATAAAAGGCTGGTTAGAGATGGAATACAATATGGAAACTTCAAAAAATGTTAATATGTGTCTACAAATAGATGACCAATATCATACCCAGATCAGCCCCTATTACCACATCCAAGAACATGTTAGGGAGAACAGGAAGAAAGGTAGCACCTGTACTCCAGACAGGGTGTTCTGGTCCCTGAGCCGCCTGCTTCAAAGGCTTAAATTAAGCTCGCCATCCAAGGTTGACTTTATGGATGGTGTCACTTCATCCATAACCCCTGAACATCTGTCAGCCTCTCTGGAAGGTCTCAATCCCCTTACTAAAGGACAAAGGCCATCGTTTCCCAGTTAGAGATAACAGCCTCGAATGAAAATGTCTGCTTGATGGAAGACTGAGACTGAAACTAACTCATACACACTGAAGTCAGACAAGCACACAGCAAGAAAAAGAGGCTGGCTTCTGAGGAAGCTGAAGGAAAAAGATTGAAGAATGAATAAGGTAAGTTCCAAAGGCCAGTGGGGGCTGGGAGATGTCAATCATCCTGGTACAGAGAACAGAACTTGTTTGGGGTTGTCATCTTAGCTGTCTACTGATCTATTAAGTCAGTAGCCCAGCAGCACCCCACCCCACCCCCCCACCCCCCTAACCCCCCACCCCCCACCCCTCCCCACCCCCCGCCGACCAGCTGAATCTGACTTCTGACAACTTCCCATGCTGAATGTCCTTCTTCTACATGAGGGGTTCCACCCCTCACTGAGTAAATAATTCTCCTCTATTAAAGTCATCTTTATGAGAAAATTAGGGCTGAGAAGATGGCTGGGGCGGGGGGGGGGGGGGGGGGGGGCACTTGCTGCCAGGCCTGGCACTTGAGTTCGAAGCCTGGAACAGACATAGAGGAAAAAGAGACCCAACTCGCTGATGCTGTCCTCTGATCTCTAGGTACACCACATGGCATGTGCACAGAAATAAATAATTGTAAAAACAGAAAAAGAGAGAGGAGATTGAGTTACAGCTATCTCTTTGTAGTTCTGCTTCTGACAGAACCTTCTGATAAAATTTCCAATAGACATTAGCCTGACTGAGTACCATGGCATTCACCTGGCTAAGAGCATTGAAGGGGCTTTCTTTGGCATCTGCATGTCCCTTTGTACAATCCTGTGTCTGGTTATCAACTTACCTTTTCCTTCATCTTAATAGGAAGGATTACTATTTCTGTCTTTAATGATTGGTTTCAGAATCATTGGTGTAAGTAAAAAAAAAAAATCTCAAACCAGGGGCTGGAGATATGGCTCAGAGGTTCACTGGCTGCTCTTCCAGAGGTCCTGAGTTCAATTCCCAGCAACCACATGGTGGCTCACAACCACCTGTAATGAGATCTGGTGCCCTCTTCTGGCCTGCAGTCATACATGCTGTGTACATAATAAATAAATAAATCTTTAAAAAAAATCACAAACCGATAATAAATATTAATAAAATAGCAAGGACTATAGACAAACTGGTACTGTTAAAACATAAACATGAATTAGCTCATTTAATCCTCACAATAACTCAGCAAGACACATGCCATTATTGTCTGCATCCACATTGGCATATGAGAACATGAAAGCACACACAGTGAACGAGTCTCCTGAATTCAGAAGTGACAGAACCAGAATTCAAATTGAGCATTCTTCACTCACAGCTCACACTTACCCACTACATCACACCACAGCAGAGCCACCCAGGCAACTGGAAATCACTTGGATAGCATCTTATTAGACACAAAGAGGACTCATTTAATCATCCTGATTGAAAACCGGTGACAGAACCTGCATGGAGGAATTGCATGTGTTGTCTTAATCACCAACTCACAGATGGGAGCAGAAACTTCTTTTGAGGAAACTAAAAAACTAGATGTGATTAAAAACTGATCCTCCAAGGGAGACAGAAAAGCCATGTAGTAGCACCACGGTGAAGTGCACCCAGCCCTTGGGAAGTGTACCCAGCCACTGGAAAGTGTTCCCCAGCCCCTTAGAAGTGTACCCAGCCCCTGGAAAGTGTACCCGGCCACTGGGAAGTGTACCCCAGCCCCTGAGAAGTATACGCAGCCACTGCGAAATTACTCAGACCCTGGGAAGTGTACCCAGACCCTGGGAAGTATACCCAATCCCCTGGGAAGTGTACCCAACCCCCGGGAAATGTACCCAGCCCCTGGGAAGTGTACCCAACCACTGGGAAGTGTACCCAGTTTGACTTGAGCAGCTTAAAGTAGTTATCTCACTAGGCAGAAATCTTTTCAATAACTCACTGATGCTATTCTCAATCTGCTCGCTTCCTATGCAGAGAAGAGGCAAAGTTAGTAAGCTAAAATAATTTCAGGTAACATTTCCTAGCTACAAAATATTGGGACCATCTCTTGAGGTTAATATTTTGGTTCCTATGCTGAGCAATATAAGGTCACTGGGTCTTATCAAAAATAAGATGATGAACTAGGCCTGGTGGCAAAGGCTTACTTCCAGCTACTTGGGAGGCTGAAGCAGGAGGATGGCAAGTTCAAGACCACTCAGAGTATAGAGTGAACTCAGGACCAACCTAGACAATTAGTAAGATTCTGTCTCAAAATAAAACGTTTAGGAATGGGGTGGGAGAG